GGGAAAACGTACTGAGCGGAATGCAGTGCACTTCAAAGCTTTTTTTATGTAAGGTAAATAGTCCAAGTTCGGTGCAGATTTTCACACTACTGGGATACACATATTTCCGTGAATCTTGGAAAAATATGTGCAGGCTGTCTATCGAATATTCATGTAAGATAATTTGTTGTTAGCTTCGAACACAATATCCGATGTAATAACACAGGAAGGAATATTATTCTCTCCTCCCCCACCAAGTTATATTTTTCTACTGATGTATCTACTCCTGTTACGAACCCGAAAATTATTGTGTTAGAAGGAAAATGATCTCATTATTCCATTTAAACGCAATGCACACAGTCATTTGCTACTGTTTAACTTAGTTGTCTGTTCAGTGTTCCACACATCGCAAACTCATTTACTGCGACAGACTGCACTGTACCAATTTCAAACAAGAGGTCACTAAGTTTTCCAGCAATTCGCGTGCGTCTGTAGAATTGTAAGTTCTTGAAAAACCGGTGCTCACGCAAATAATAGCCCGAGGTGAACAACCCGGATTGTGTTCATTTTACCAATCGCTGACCGCGCTTCATATCGATTTCTTTCATTTATTCAGTTCATTCCATTCTGTCACATTTTGATGGATAATCCAAACCTATTTGCATACATTTCTTAATCTACAGTCATCTAGTTGCCAGCGTTGACAGAAGGACGCTACTTCAGTTTCTCAATGAAAATGACTGTCAAACTCCAATCATCAGAATCAATTTACTTGATACATTGGTCACAATTCATCACCACTCATCAACGGCTTTGGTGTTTTTGTAGGGTGCAATCCCGTTCTCGATCCGGTTCTCAGTCTTAACAACATCTGTACGTACTCAAAACCACACCATTTTATCTCCTATTTAGATGACGTAAATTAGCTATCAAAAGCCGCACTCTATTTCCGTCGTCCAGCCCACTGATTAGTTTGTCAAACTGGAGTCAGTTACAGTTTGACCATTAAGTCATTCAGATGCATCAACGTTATTTACGCTCGAAAAATTTGCCGGTAACGTTTTTCTTGGCACAAGTTACACTTTCGACTGTTTCAATCGTTTCCAGATTCCCATAGACTGTAAGTCGAAAACAGCTGTTCGCATAATTGACTTCATATATTGCTCTGTCTGTAGCTTACCAGATGTGCAAACCCGTCTAGCCCAATGAAGTAGGGTCTTGACTAAACCGCGCTTATATGCTTTTGGGGAAAAACTGGAGAACCGAAGATATTACCCACCCCATACTGCTTTAGGATAGACCTTACGCCTGGTGATGAGCACATCTATGAAAGCCAAGCTACTGGTTGGTTCCTTTTCGTGAGACAAAAAAAGGTTCGGATGGAAAGAGTTAAAAAAGTCAAAACAAATCAAATTTATCAGCAAGGATAAAAAACAAAATACTATCAACAGACCGTTTGTACAATACGGTTTTGGCAATACTGTCTAGGACTTGTCGTTCCATCATTCCCAAGATGATATCAGCTAGTGTTGGACCTAACGAGCTACCCAATATCCACTCCGTCTATATGTCTATAAGGAGGTCCCTCAAAAGTAAGCCTAATATTTTCTGTATACGCCAAAATGATATCCTTGTGATATTCAGGTGGAATACTTATATCGCAGTTCTGGTTAGAGATGAAATCACATATAAATTCAACTTTATCACAAAGGAAAACATTTGTGAAAATGCAATCAACGTCTATAGAATATATGGTTTGAGAAATCACCGATAAGTTTTCTAACGTCTGTGTTACTTCGAAGGAATCCTCTAGGCAATGGGAGATAAAAATTTGCGAATGGGATTCAAAATGTCAACTAGCCGTCGAGCAAGTTTGTGATACGCCGAATTGTTCATACACAAAACTTGTCTCACAGTTGATCCATCCATATGCATTTCTGGCGCACCCCTCATTCGTGATGTTTCTGTGCCTGTTGGCTTCATGCGCCAATACTGATTTTTAAAGATACCACTATGCAACAACAGTATATGAAATTGCCTTAACCTTAACCTTTACAACACTGTTATTTCTGGTCGTTTTGTCTTTTTTAAATTTGGGTGGGCAATATCCTCAGTTCTTCAGCTCTGCCCCAATGGCATATAAACGTGGTCTAGTCAAGAGCTTATCCCATAGGGCCAGGCGGATTTGCACCACTGATAAGCTGCAGACCAAACAATACATGCTAGGAGGAATGTTACCGGCAAATAAATATCTTGAAAAATTCATAGAGCTTCACAGCCAGATTGACAAGGGCACCAGTTCAAACGCGCCAATTCGAACAGCCCAAAAAATGGATATATTTCTAATTCTGCAATTTAAAGGGGACCGGTTGACTAGTGACACCAGACACAATTTGAAGTCTGTTCTATCCCGCACGTATGCGGCTACCAAATTACGTACAGTTTAAACCACCAAACGATCATTTCGGCGAAGATTAGAGCGTGGCGAAGTACGATGTCAGAATTGATGGTCACGTAGTCAAGCAACCGTTCGTCATTTCACCCGACGCACGTCAGACTATATTGAGAGCGGATTTTCTTGACCGCGTTTAGACTAGGATTGATTTGAAGCATGGTAAACTCGTAACGAAATGTGGAGTGGTTACGTTATCTAGAAAACGCAACCCTCAGTTTGGGCAAATTGAAGCGAACGCACCCGGAACAATATCAATCTGTGACAATCGGTTGCCGAATGAAGTGATATGCAAAGTCCGGAAGTTGTTCACGACGGATCGAGACCCATGTGGCTATTGTGACTGGGCTGAACATGAAATCTCCATCAAGCCAGGCCGATTTCGACTATTTGGTCCCAGAAGAACTCCGGTTCACCTGCAGCGGGAAATCGAGCGACAAGTGAACGGCATGCTGAAGAAGGAAATCATTGAGGAGGCTGATAGCCCATTCTATTCTCCTATTCTGTTGGTGAGGAAGCCCAATGGGAAATTTCGATTTTGTGTCGACTTCATAAGACTCAACGAGATTACATTCAATAAAGTCGTAGCAGTCCCAGCGGTGTCAGAAATTTTCGATAAGTTGCAGAATGCGAGGATATTTACAGTGTTAGACATGCGGTCTGGATATCGGTAGGTCCTAATCAAGCAATTGGACCGAGATAAAACGGCGTTCATAGTGAGGGAAAAGTGATACCGCTTCAAACGTATGCCGTTCGGACTGTCAGGTGCCCCTTACACGTTCAGACGTCTGATGTTGAGGGTGCTGGAAGGACTGAACAATACTGTTGTCTATGGAAACGATATAGTCATCTATAGCGCGAATAGAACGGAACAACTTGTGAACGAAAACCTAGGGTGTTGTGGAACGGAATTCTGACTCATACCCGAGCGCGCGCGTAGCATAGCATCCAGCTAGTTGGACCATAAAGATTGTGCCTTATTGGACCCCTTTTCACTACAATATGTATTACGACGCGGAAGACTCACTGGAATAACATCTTGATACTGCGGCCTACAACGATCAGGGATTCCCCTGCCTGCTTTTAATTGTCTGTCCGAAAAGTAATTCAAGATCCGTATTACAGTCTCCTGCGTACGTGCACTAGAGAACATAGCTGACTGAGCATCAACGTGGATTCATTTCCTTTCGTGTTTGCCTGGCGAAGTGCCTCGGTGTTCGTTATCATGTCTGTCCACCGGGTGCGCCTCAGATAGGGTTGATGAAAACAGGTGAAATACTGCATTGATACTGTTGGTGCCTAGTCCAAATTTTGCTGATGTATGGCAGCACGGACAACATGGGTCTGTAGACCAGCGACTTGGTTTCCGTCTTAACCCTATGATTCTTCAAGCATGTCCATCAAAGCCTCGGACGGCAGTGCCAGTCTTGGTCAGACGAGCTCACACCCCTGCTGTCCATGGATAGATCAGTCGTTGAACCAAAGTCCAAAGGAAGTATTTACTATATCGCAGCCAATGTGGATCTCGGACGTGAGTCCAACTTAACCGTTTGAAGAAGTCTAAGTGGAAGAAATTGTGTTACCTGTGGTGATATCCGAACCAAACTTGACGATCGTAACCGTAAAATCAGCTGTCGTTTGCTGCTGTTCTCATTTTCGTTTGTAGTTAGTGGCATGCTAATGGCCGAAATGCGTTACGGAGTAACGAACGTGAGATATTCAGTAGGCGACCATGCCCAGGATATCTGATTTGAACACCTTAATTTCGTTTCTGGAGAACAGTTGACGGTATTGCAGAAAAGCATATGCTGACTAGGGTTGGAGTTAAGATACAAACCTGTCTCACACCGATGACAATTTTGAACTCATCATACCCGTGTTCTGTTGTAAGAATGGCTTCCACCGACCGTGTGGAATACCAGCATTTATCGCTTCATCCATGGACGTTCTGTGATTGGGCCACAACCGTCTGTGCTCTGTGTGGGCTGGCCCTGTTGTGTCACAATGAATTGCGCAAACGATGTTGTCGTTTCTGTAAGTAAAGTGATTTGGAAGATAGTATAAGTCCGTTTAATACTGTGAGGGTGAAAACCACACTATAGTGCGCGCGAGTAGTCAGGCGGGAACATGCTTTGAAGTTGTGAAGTGACCGCGGATCATGCAAAATAAAAACAGTTAAGCGCGATCTGGTAGGAAATGTTGTTTCCCATAAGCAAGTTTGCCTTCGACAACAATAACATCCCGGTGTTATCGTCATGTACAGATGAGTGACCCTGTTCGATACGTTGTTGAAACATAAACTACGTAAGTCGGTTCTCTGAGGAGACATTTCTGACTACCTCTTCCACCTCTGCCGTCGCCGTTTCATGAGTTCGTATTTTCTCACTGTTCTCCTAATATTGTGTGCTGGATATTTTGAGTGAGAATGACTGGCAGTTTACTGAAGGTGTGTTTATATCTGCGTTACCTTAACAATTCACAATAGAACGTGATTGGTCAGCACTTACTGATAGCATAGGGCACCTAAATTTGATTGGTGAGTCTGGGCTAGTAACTCATCACATCCCGTGCCCGCGTGGCCTAATGGATAAGGCGTCTGCCTCCTAAGCAGAAGACTGTGGGTTCGAGTCCCACCGTGGGTGTGGTTTTATCAGGAATTTACGGGCGGACAGCAGTCAAAATGATATAACTGAAACCTCGCCTATCACGTACTGCTGTGATCAGGACTCAGAACAACGCATGCTGACATATCAGTTGTTGAATAGAATGCCACCAACAGTCCGGCTTCAGCTCAGGGTTGCTCTCATCGCACATCTGGTGACGCTGGAACGGTTGGCTGATGCAGCTCGATGATTGCTGGCAGAAATCTTCCCGAGTGTAAGCATGAATATGGCGACAAATGTCACAATGGGAGATGTTCCGTAAATCAAGTTGATTGATTTGTTTTACTGAATTCCAATCGGTAGCACAATGTCGATAACGTGTCACAACACAGGATGATAGGTTTTGATCAATATCCCCTCGCTGAATACCTGCAACTAGGGGTTTGGACTCCGTCAATATCTAAACAGGTTTGTGGGGTCATCTAAACACCTGTTTCTAAGGCGGGCTTAGCAAATGATGCAGCCGGAATGTCTGTTAATGTGCTCACAGTTGTGTTGCGTTGTGTCATCAAGTGAGATGTGTTCAGACGACCGTTACTACGAGTGCCGACTCATTCTGCCGGAATTCACATGACGAAGCTCTCAAAACTTTCTTGTTAGTTGAAGTTACTGTGAGTACCAAAAATTCGTCTTGATACACGTTTGTCACTGAAGTTTACCTCTGGAATACCTTTTCCTTTTGAATTGTACCGGCATCTAGATAATTTCGGGCTCTGCTACGAAACACATGACTGCAACGCGTTTCTATATGGCTGCTGCAAGGTGAGCAGATTTCAAATAGTGGCTTTCTCACATTAATCGTTGCAAGGTTGCTATTGTGATGAAAACGAGCGATCGCCCCATACTCCTCACATCACCACCATTCAGTAGCGGGGCGACAAAGTAACTGCAGGAAAAACACGGGAATAAGCATCTCACCAACACGACAGTGCAGTATGCCATGGAATAGATCTGGCTGCGCAAAGAAGCTGAGCACTTGTGTCTGTGGCAGCCCTGGACTTTCTGGTACGATTGCCGTATGTAAATGAGTGTTTTTGTTTCCCTTCCTGTTTGAACACCTAACCCGTGTTAGTTTCCTGAATAAACGAGCTTCGCGCCATCCGGGGTCTTGGCTCACAACAATCGGTGCCATGAACAAGATTGGTGAATGAAGATTCCGTGGCCGCAGCCGTCCGAGGATGGAGACGTCCGGAAATTCCTGGGATGGACGTGGCGGAGACGGTTGGAGTCAAGACCGATTAATTGAAGCTGACGGTCCTGTGGATGCTGCTCAAAGGCAGGGCGAAGGCGGTGCTGGATGCAGCGCGAAGCAGCCCTGCGAAGCTGGAGTGGGCCGCTTCGGAAGAAGCGCTGGTGACTGCGTTTGACAGTCCGGCTGACCGTCAAGAAGCAATGAGATGGCTCAAGGGTACCCGGTTCGGGCCAGGAGGCGACGCTCTGGTTTATGTCGTGTCGCTGCGGGCAGCGTTTTCAAGATCCCTGCCACATATGGATCGGGACTCAGAATAACGCGTGCTGACAGATTAGTTGTTGAACAGAATGCCACCAACAGTCCAAGATTAGCTCAGGGTAGCTCTCATCGCACATCCAATGATATTGGAACAGCTGGCTGATGTGGCTCGACAATTACTGGCAGAAACCTCGCTGACAGTCAGCGAGTTGAAGACAAGTGAACAAAATGAAGCGAATGACCTACGAATTTCAGTGGAAAAATTGACTCAGGAAGTGGCGGCTTTGAAGATGAGGAGGGAGGAGAGCCGTGGCGACGTCTGTTACAGATTCAGAAGACGTGGACACTGGCGAAGATTTTGCCCGCACGACGAGAAAAAGTCATAAGTAAATAAACGGTTTGCTGATTGTTTTTGTCTGGGAAGGATGATCCGATGATAGGAACTGTTGATAAGACGGCATTTCAGGCTAGGATAGGAATCAATGGTATCTCGGAGCGTTGTTTGATTGACACTGGCACTGCGATTTCATTGAGTGGACCAAGGCCGAAGGAAACTGTTCAGCTGTGTGCGATGGTCGTTCGAACAGTCGATGGGTTTACACTCAAAGTTTCGGGCATGGCGAAATTGATGAATTGATGAATTGATGGTCACGTAGTCAAGCAACCGTTCGTCATTTCACCCGACGCACGTCAGACTATATTGAGAGCGGATTTTCTTGACCGCGTTTAGACTAGGATTGATTTGAAGCATGGTAAACTCGTAACGAAATGTGGAGTGGTTACGTTATCTAGAAAACGCAACCCTCAGTTTGGGCAAATTGAAGCGAACGCACCCGGAACAATATCAATCTGTGACAATCGGTTGCCGAATGAAGTGATATGCAAAGTCCGGAAGTTGTTCACGACGGATCGAGACCCATGTGGCTATTGTGACTGGGCTGAACATGAAATCTCCATCAAGCCAGGCCGATTTCGACTATTTGGTCCCAGAAGAACTCCGGTTCACCTGCAGCGGGAAATCGAGCGACAAGTGAACGGCATGCTGAAGAAGGAAATCATTGAGGAGGCTGATAGCCCATTCTATTCTCCTATTCTGTTGGTGAGGAAGCCCAATGGGAAATTTCGATTTTGTGTCGACTTCATAAGACTCAACGAGATTACATTCAATAAAGTCGTAGCAGTCCCAGCGGTGTCAGAAATTTTCGATAAGTTGCAGAATGCGAGGATATTTACAGTGTTAGACATGCGGTCTGGATATCGGTAGGTCCTAATCAAGCAATTGGACCGAGATAAAACGGCGTTCATAGTGAGGGAAAAGTGATACCGCTTCAAACGTATGCCGTTCGGACTGTCAGGTGCCCCTTACACGTTCAGACGTCTGATGTTGAGGGTGCTGGAAGGACTGAACAATACTGTTGTCTATGGAAACGATATAGTCATCTATAGCGCGAATCGGACGGAAAATGCAGGACACGTTTCAGCTGTATTGCAAAAGACGGAACAGACTGTCTCACTGATCAATAGTCCAATATCTCAACTGGCGAAACGAGTGGTGGTACTACCGGGTCACAAGTTCGGTCAGGGTGAAGTCCAACTAATTCCCGAGAAACTACTGGCGATCGAAACGATTTCGGTGCCAACATCGAAGAGGACTTTGTGACAGTTTCTCGGTCGCGTCGGGTTCTACAGCCGCCTCGTCAAACACTGCAATGAACTGGCCAACCCATCGTACGGAATTCTGAAGAAGAATGGCCGATTTCACTGCACAGAGAAAGCCAATCGAGCGTTGTTCAAGATCCAACAATTGATGAAGGAAGGACAACTGACCCTGAAGTCGCCAGAGACTGAAAAGAGCTTCGTTGTCGCGACGGAGGCGAGCGATGTGGGATTGGGAGCTGTACTGAAGCAGGAAGGCGGTGCTGTGGAATATGCCAGTCGAATACTAACACCTGCTGAACAAAACTACTCAACGACATATAAGTGTTTGGCGATCGTATTGGCATTGGAAAAATGGAGACCGTACTTGCTCGGTCAACGTTTTTATGTGGAAACTGACCACAAGCCGTTGGATTGGGTTAAATCGGCGAAGGACCACCGAGGGACGCTGGCTCGTTGGGCGTTACGATTGCAGGAGTACGACTTCACAATTCGCCATGTAGCTGGAAAAGAGAACTATGTTCCCGATTTGCTGTCCCGAAAGCAACACATGGATGAAGTCCACAAGGACGTGATTGGAGTCAACAGTATTGTGCTGGAGAACGATCCCGGGAAGTTGTAGGCGGCGCATAGGACGGACACGACAATCCGAATGCTGATTGATCAAGATCTATCTGAAGAACAACCGCCAGAAGACGAGGAAAATCCGGAAGTAAAGGCCTTTAGAATGTGCTGGTCAGACTAACGGTTGAATAGCGCCGGAATTTCAATGCGCCAACTGCGGGAAGGAATAAATCTACCGGTCACACCGGCGGAGTTGAGAGCGATAATTGTTAATGAATGTCATCGGTTGGCTCATACGGGAAGTCATCGAACCTAGGAATTGCTAAAGCAAGGAGCATGCCGTCCAGGAATGAAGAAAGATGTTAATAATCATGTGCTGGCGTACCAGCAATGTCAACTGCTGAAGAGCTCCAACTACCTCAGTCAGTATCCCACGCAACCAATTACGGTTGGTGAGATTGGGGAATTACGGTCGTTCGACGTGATGGGTCCATTCCCAGTAACCACATCCGGAAATCAGTACATCATAGTCATGACGGAACATTTCACAAGATGGATCGAAGCAGCCGCTGTACCCGATCAGCGTGCAAGCACTGTGTGCAGGGCGATAGTGGGACACATCATATATTGACTGATCAAGGTCCCTGCTTTGAAAGTGAAGAATTTCGGAACTGCTTGGAGCGTTTGGGAATCAAGAAAATTCGCACAACGCCATACCAACCTCAAGCAAATGGACTGACAGAAAAAAACAATCGCACAATTAAGGAGTGGTTGACGGCGAAAAGAGGAAGCTGAGAAGAAACACTACCATTGATTCTGTTGGCCCACCACTGTTCACCACAAGGGGCAACGAAGAAATCTCCGTTCGAGTAAATATGCGGACGCGTGCCACGCGTACCACGCCTGCCAATCGATCAGGAAATTGGTTTATGAGGAGACCAACGGATAAGCACGCGTGAATTGGTGGAAGCTCGGAAGGTGGCCAACCAAAACTTGACAAACGCACAAGAAGTTTGAAAGGAGCAGTCAACGGCAAGGTTATCGGATCGAAGTGGTGCGTTTGAACTCGGTTCGAAGGTCAAATATAGGGAGCGGCGGATTCCGGGTGCAGCAGGACCAAGATCAAGGAAGTTCCTGGCAAAGTGTGGGAAACCTTATGTGGTAGTGGACCACCGTGGCCCAGTGTATCTAATTAAGAATGATAAGAATCAACATCGAGTACATGGAAGTCAGCATGGTGAATGGTATGACACCCCGATCAGAAGAGAATGCACACCAGGAGCATCGACGTCCCCGAGGCCGGTACGCA